ATATGTTTGAATATATACTGTATATATATATTCAAACATTATATATATATATATATATATATATATTCAAACAGTATAATAAAAATAATATAATTAAAATGTTGCTAGTTCTGAACCATTCGAGGTGTGACGGTGAACTTGTGTGTACTTGTAGTATCCACATGTACTTGTACGATCAGTGTGTACTTGTAGTATCTGTGTGTACTCGTAGTATCCGTGTGTACTCGTAGTGTCCGTGTGTACTTGTAGTATTCGTGTGTACTCGTAGTATTCGTGTGTACTCGTAGTATCCGTGTGTACTCGTAGTGTCCGTATGTACTTGTAGTATCCGTGTGTACTCTTAGTATTTGTGCGTACTCGTAGTATTTGTGCGTACTCGTAGTATTTGTGTGTACTCTTAGTGTCCGTATGTACTTGTAGTATCCGTGTGTACTCTTAGTATTTGTGCGTACTCGTAGCATCTGTACACACTTGTAGTATCCGTGCGTACTCGTAGTACTTGTGTGTACTTGTACTCACAGCCATGGGCAGGGAGTGGGCGGAGAACAGGATGACGACGTCGTCTCGTTTGTCCTCAGGAAACTTCAGCAGCTCGTTCCTGACGTGTTCTGCAAAACACTGAGAACAAACGTCTCCTCAGCCTCGTTCAGTTCCAGGAACTCGTCGTGAACCAGAGGGAACGCTCGCCGTGACTCACCTCCACCAGCAGGGGGTGCGTGGGCCAGCGGTCGATCACGCTCCACCTCATCTTGGGCCGCTCTCCTCGGTTCCTGTAGTAACGGTAGATGGCGTTCAGACTGCTGCCTGTCGGAAAAGATCAAAAGAGTTCGTCTGGATCATCGGAGGAAACGACGCTCGATGACGCAACGTCTGTGGATTATTCCCCCCCCCCCCCCCCCCCCAACATGTTCTGGGTCTCCACAAACGGAGGCGTCCTGATCAGACAGACCTCCTCAGCCGACTCCTTTAGGTAGAGAGGAGCAGCAGCTCGACTCAGAGCTCTTCTTAAAACTGACCCCCGCCCCCCCAGAGGAGAGGCTTGGATTCAGTCCTGATCCAAAACCTCAGGATCTCAGTAAAACCGGAGCTTCGCCTTTTGACTCAGCTCTTTCTTCACTACAGCTGACCAGAGCGACACCCTCATTACTGAGGACGAGGAACTGAACTCATCCACCTGAGGCAAAGAGCCACCCCCTCAACCCTTAGGAGGCCTTTAAGTACACATGGTGGAGGGGTTGGAGCCCCCCTGTGATCCTGGGGGCTCTGTAGTCCTGGTGGTCCAGGTCTGGTCCTGGGGCTCGGCTGGGACCAGCCCAGGAGCCAGACAGGAGTCATAAAGTGTGTGTGTGTGTGTGTGTGGGGGGGGGAGACACTAAAGTCTGTAGAGCAGAAAACTTCAAGTAATTTTTTTAACAAACTGTTTGAGGCGTTTTATTTTTTAAGCACCTTCAAAATAAAAGCCTGAAACTGAGGAAACTTTTGTTCTGACTTTCGGCTCCAACATGAACCGGTGTCAGCCGACGGATGCTCAGCTGGTCTACCTGTGGTGGAGCAGCTGTACTGGGGGTACTGGGTGAAGGCCACGGCCCGCTCCACCCCGTCCCTCTCCATCTCCTCGATGGCCTCCTCCGTCAGCGGGTTCACGTAGCGGAAGCCGATGTAGAACTTGTGAGGAGCTGCGGGAACAGGAAACGGGTCGTTTCAGAACAACGAGCTCGTTCAGAGAGAGGGAGTCGCTGTGGCTCTTATCAGCCAGGCGTGGCGGGCCCCGCCCCCTCCCAGCTGTTATCTGGGCCCCGCAGCAGCCGGGCCGTTGGGGGCCTCACCTGTCTGCGGGCTCGTCTCGTCCAGCAGCCGCACCATGCCCTCCCCCTGCACCGAGGTCCAGCGCCTGATGGGAGACCCGCCGCCGATCTTGCTGTACTGCTCCTGGATCTTGGGCGTGCGCCGCTTGGCGATGAACGGGCCGAGCTTGCTGCAGGGGAACACGAGCAGAAGGACAAGATCAGCCGAAGACAAACAGCCGAACTTTAGACGCTGATGAACAAACAAAACGATGTTTATTTTCTATAAACGCTACGACCCGACAGGTTTAAAAACAGGAAGTCCTCCTCGTTCAGGATCAGCTGGTCCTTGTTCAGGATCAGCTGGTCCTCATCAGGTGGACCAGCTCTGCAGGTGTGATTTAACACAACACCAAGGCGGAAAGACATCAGCAATGAGCTCTGAGAAGCAGCTGTCAATCAATCTGAGGAGGGTCAAAGGTCATTTGGAGCTCATCGTTCTACAGAGACAATTCACCCTGAAGGTCAGACCATGCAGTGACTCCACAGGCCTCAGGTCAAAGGTCACGACCTCTTCTCTCTAAAAACAACATAGCAGCTCAACTCAGGTTCATCTGAAGGAACCACCGAAGGGTTCTGGAGTCCAACAGCTGAAGCTTGGACCAAACTGGGTCAACAGAACCATGATCCAAACACAGCTGCTGATCCACAACAAAACGGGTCAGAAAGAACAGAACCAAGGTCCAGTCAGAGTCCAGAACCTCAGCCTGACTGAACCTCTGTGGTGGATCTTCAGAGAGCTGAACAGAACCAACGATGGAAAGAAGAGTGGACCAGAACTCCTCCAGGACCATGAGGGACAAACAGGAAACCACTGGAGGAGGTTCTACAGGCTGTGTATGTGTGTGTGTGTGTGTGTGTGTGTGTTCGTACTTCTGCACAGGAAGTTTCATCAGGTCCGTGTCCATAAAGAGGCGCAGCAGGAAGTCGTGGACATCCTGGAGTTTCTCAGGTCCTCCCATGTTCAGCATCAGGATCCCCGTTTTCGGTTTCCTGCACAAACAAACAAACAAATAAACAAACAAACACAAAAATATGACAAATCCATTGAATATTTTACTTATTTGTCAAATGAGATGGAAACATGAATAAAATCTACTGAGTCTCATTAGTGTCCAACATTCCCCCCTGTTTGTTTATAATAATGTGTGTGTGTGTGTGTGTCACCTGTTCTCTTGTGTGTCTGGAGCTGCACTCGGAGCTAAAGCAGCAGCTGTGGAGCGTCTCCTCAGCCTCAGGCCGATGCTGCTTCGAGCAACTGAAACAAACGATTCGTCTCGATTCATTCCAGTTCAACATCTGCTTCAGTCACTTTGAACTTTATTTAGTTCATAAAATTGAATGTTAGTCTGTTTATGGTCTCGATCCAGAGCTGGCTGGTAAAATTAGTTGATCATCTTTCCTGCATTTTTCTGGAGTCCAAACATTTAATTAATTTCTCACCAGATAAAAAAAAAAAAAAAAACTGATGTGAAGTTTGATTTATGTTCTTCATCTTTAATTTTTTAAGATTTATATTAGTTTAAAGCTCAGTCAGGCAGAAGGCAGGACGTCCTTTACACCAGCGGTTGTTACGCTCCGTGCCCCGGTGCGGGTCCTGAACATCAAACATGGGGTCTTTAGAAAATCTAAGGGAACCAAATTAACTTTAAACATGCTCATATTTAAACAGGGCTCTTTGTTAAATGGCTTGTTTGCAAAGTTTCTAAACAACAAGTCTCCGCAACTTTTATTTTATTTATTGATCAAAAGCAGAAAAGTTTGGAAATGAATGAATGAATTCCAGCGGTTGCTTTTATTTATGGTCACAATCAAACTAACTGTAAAATAAATTAATTTAGCACAAAAACTTTTTACATTTACACAC